CCATGAAGGTCATGGGAAGAGAGAAATAACCAGCCAGCCCCCAGCTGTGTCAGCCAGCCCAAGTGAAGTGTCAGACATGAGGAAAACATCCATCAGAAAACTTCACTTCTCACCACAATTAGATTAAGGCCACATGATCCACTACCCATACGAGTAGAGCAAACATGGTGGACATAATCATAAATTATTGTTTTAAACCAATATATGTGGGGGAGGTTTGTTATTCTGTAAATGATTAAGTGGGACAACATCAAAACCAGAGTCTGGTCACTGCATCCAGGTGTATACATTATTCTTATTTTAATAACAAATTTTATCCTCCCTGTTCTAAAATGGTGACAATTCATTACCAAACATGCTGTAGGCTTCTGCCCACATAAATTAGAAATATCTTGCAATTGTTTGGATAATAGAAAAAAATCTTGGAGGCAAATCTTTTTGGTTCTTCAAATAGTCCTTGAATTACAATTTTTTAGTGCATCCTGGCTGGGTGGCTCAGTTGGTTGGAACATCAACCTGTACACCAAACGGCTGCAGGCTCAGCTCCCAGTCAGGGCACATATGGGAGGCAACCTATTGATATTTTTCTCTCACAATGATGTCTCTCTCTCTCTCTCTCTCTCTCTCTCTCTCTCTCTCTCTCTTTTTCTCTCTCTCACTCCCTGTCCCTCCCTTCCTCTCTCTACTCCCTGTCCATCCCTTCCTCTCTCTAAAATATATTCTCAGGTGAGGATTAAAAAAAAGTATTTTAAGTGCTGGCCTTCTCATTTTTTTTCATTTTCCCCAGTGCATCTTACACAAAACCTGGCACAGTGTCAATGTATACAAACATCCTTATCATAAAGGAAGAATTAAGACTTCACCTGATTTTCCTCCAAGGACAAAGTTTCTTCCCCAAACCATCTATTATGGCTCTATGTGTGCAGACAAATGCCTAAAGTCTTAGTTTAGCTATCTGAAATTGGGGAATGATTTTCTTCAGAGTTTCTAACATATCCTAAGCACTACACCATAAGAATATGGTTCCAATGTCTTCTTAGATATTTCATGACCCTATCTCTCACTCCTTATATCAGAGAATGCTTATCCTCCTTGATACCCTGATCTCTCCCACAATATTCTCACACTCTTCTTGCTGATAACCACATACTCTCCCCCCACCTCTCTTTTTCCCTCTGAAGCAAGAAGCACACCTTGTTATGTTTTCAGAAGTTTTAATGACCAAGTCTGGTGGAAGGGTGAGAACCCGTGTTGTCAGTGAGCTCTGGGAACCACAGGGTCACTTAGGTGGAGGGATCTCCTTGACAACGGGGAGTCTGGTCACATCCTTCTCTAAGCGACAGTCACTGAGGTCAGGGAGACATCTCTCCACACCCGGATCATCTTCACAGATCCTGGGTCAATTCGATGGGGGAAAGTGTAACAATGGCGACCATTTACCGTTATCTGGAAGAGAATGTGTGTCAGCAACATAGCAGGCCACCAAACAAACCTGCCGTCTTCCTTCCCTTTCCTACCCTATACACACACCATCCACCAGAAACTCCTAGTCACACTGTGAAACCCAACAAACATGCTTCTTTTTATAGCCTTCCTTTTGTGACGATCTCAGACAGTTATTCACCCTCTTTTCTGTGTTTCTCTCGTTCTTCCACTGAGGTTATAGCACTCTGTGTTGCACTGTCTATGTTTGCCTGGGCTTCCCTCTGGCCAGGAACTGTTTCATGAATCGGGAGTCTGGGTCTTGCACAGAGTATCATAGGCTAATTGGTCATTAAGTGTTTATTGAGTGCATTCGTTTTAGCTCTGCTAAACTTTACTGCCATTTACTCCTGATGAGTGGGAAGAGAGAGCGAGAGAGAGAAATAGAAAGATAGAGAGAGAGATGTGAGACTTAATTGGTTGCCTCATCTTGCGCCCCGATGGGGACAGGGATTGAGCCTGCAATCCAAATACATGTCCTTGACTGAGAATTGAACCTGAGACCCTCCAGTGTGCAGGCCAACACTCTACCTACCGAGGCAAAGCTTGAATATTCCTAAAGAGGAGGAATAGTAAATATGATTAAAATGAGGATATTTTTATTTAGCTTATAAGCAAATGGAACAAAGCCTCACTTCAATCATAGGACAGTAAATCTTTTTGCTTCTCCAATGATAGAAGGTTTAAACATACACTTTATGGGTGTGGTTATGGAGAAAAAGTGCACTTTTCAGGTCTTAATTTTTCAAATTAAAAATGCACACACTTTTTGAACCAGTTATGAAATTCCTCTGAAATTATCCTCCCTCATAAGAATAGGGAGGTTGATAATGACAAAAATGTGATATAGAAGGAAGCATCATTCAAGAGAGAAAAATATGGAAACCACCTAAATGTTCATGAATACGGCCAAGTTGCATTATTCTGAAAATGCTTCTATTGGAATATTATGCAAACATTAGTTAATATTGGGGCATCACAAACAGAATGATGTTAGTGTCTCTAACACACATTCTTTGACAACACATAAAATCTAGTCATCAGTGTGTGATTTCTAGAGAAACTTATAACATCATTTGTTTAAAAATAAAAGCAAATAGATAAATAATAGGTAGATAGATAGATAGATTTGAAGAAGCATATAGTATCACTGGAAGGAGCATAAAGGAATTAGTAAGTGTTGCTCTGGAGAGAGGGACTGGGAACGTAGGAAAGATTTAATTTTAGACAGAGTATAATTATTTATATACATACTCCTACATGAAAACTGGAGGAGCGACAGCATAGGTGGAAATGATGGCTGTAAGTGAATAAGAAATGGAGAATAAGGCACGTGTGCTGATCTTGACCTGCTTAGATTTGGAAAAGGACCTGAGCATGGCAGTACAAGCAGAGGGTGCTGTGTGATGAGAGGGGCAGGAGATGAACCACAAGTGACTGTGGGAGCCAGGCCAGGGAGAGCTGTGTGCTCCTGTGAGAGCCCTGAGAGCTCATCTGCTGGGTGTTCCTGGGCACACTCACCTGGTACTCGGATAACAGCACCAAGATGGCCAAGTCAAAGTGGTGGCCATTCTCAAAGGGCATAACAGTGGATTGCACTTCTTGACCCCACTTCCCACCCTGACGGATGTTCATCACCACACGCTTGCCAAAGCACACGCGGAAATGGAAGGCGATGGTTTTGTTCGCTTCAGTGTGGAAATCCACATGCAGTTCTGGGCTCACGCTGAAGGCAAAGCACACAGCATGTTGAGCAGGACCCTTCCTCATGGGGGCCCACATTCAACACACACATCCACACCCTCCCAACTCCTCCTGGGAGAGGGAAGGCCTTCCTGGGTGAGACCGCAGTACGTGTCCCTGTGGGGCTGCTTCAGCTTGTCCTGCCCAGGCTGGGGAGATGCCTCATCTCTTAGCCCTGGACTCACACTGAGCAGCAGTCACTGGCCTGGGGCTACTTTTCATGCCGGGGAAATACTGTGTCCCTTGATAATAAATCTCAGTCCAATGCCTGAGTGACCCAAGCCCCCAGACTTCACCCCTTGCCCATAGTCTTGCTCTTGTAGGTTTAATGCCTGGGACCATATGTGTCTCCAGGAACTGCAGCTGCATTGTGCTACCATTATGCAAGTTACAAACTTTAACCTCAGTCATAAATGAAGTGACCCCAAAGCTCTAATAATCAGACTTCTCCTCCCCATGGGCTATAGATACTCACCTGAACGACTTAGAAGGTGTCCCTTTGATTTTCACTGAAGCACCAACAGTCAAGGATACAGTTTTTTTTATATGGGACCTGCCATTGGAGATGAGAGGGGTTGAGAGGGGCAAGGCCAGGTGTGTTCTCCCATTCTATAACAGTTCCCAGTGGCAAAGCAGGTTATACATCAAAGGACACACTCTGACAACCCTCTTCTTCCCACCTCATCACAGGCAAGTCTCTGTGTCTTTGAAGAAATGGGAAGGTTGAAGTTCACAGGAAGAGTTCCAAAGCCAGGTGGCCTGGATTCTAATGCTGATTCTGCCTCTTACACCAATGAGAACTGAGTTCCATTACTTGAATGCTCCCTGCCTCCGTTTTCTCAGGACAAGAAGGATTATGAAAATTCCTATTCATAGGATGTTCTCAGGAATAGCTGCACTAATAGATGTAAAACCTTTAGCATGGTTACTGGCAGGTATAGGGTCTATGCAGGGGTGACTTAGCACAAGGTGAGGCCCTTTCTGGGATACTACCCTCCCACCAGTTTTTATCTGAAACTGTGAAGATAAGGCTTTAGAATGTAAAAGTATAAAATATAAAAATCCACTCCAATATAAGATAGTTGTTTAAAGGGAGAGGGGAATAATGGCAAAGGAGACTCCTGTGTGTGGCATGTATATGCATCAGAATTTTCAAGGGCAATGGTGTCCTTTCAGGAATGTGTACAAGTTGCTGAGCACAGTCAGTACCTGCACACAAGGTGGGAAACAGGACAGTAATTA